ATAAAAAAGGAAGCTTATTTTTCTGTGACTTAGGATGCTCAACAAGCTCAGGAACTTTGCACAGGTGTCATAGGTGATGGAAATAAATATTTATTTTGGCTTGACCGTTTCAAATTGCCTTGATAGCGCCCCCTACAAATATTCAACAATGCAGCCCCAGCGCTACATTTGACCTACATGTATGAAATTTGGTAGGAACATGTATCACATAAAGACTTCAAAAAAGTGTCTGGGACCATGCTCTAAAATTAACAGGAAGTTGGCCATTTCGATTTTTGTGTTCATTTTCCCTTGATTTCTAGTCGCTATATTTTAACGAACTCCTCCTCGGGTCAAATCCACTTCAAATTGACTCGGTACAATCTAAAGACCTTTATGTTCGATGGAATGGCGTAGCCGTGGCGTGGTGGCCATTTTACGTGATTCACCATTAAACAACAAGCTGATGTAACTCCACTGGACTTGCTCAAATCTGTCCCAAACTTGCCATGCTTGATAACAGTCATGGCCTGAGGATGTCTACAAGCCAATTTTCACTCATAGTCATAGTGCCACTTACTGGCAACAGGAAGTCAGCGTTATGTGACAAACGGAATCCGATTTACATGATGAGGTCTGCACTTGATGTAGAGCAACATAATGCATGTTTGTGCGTGTTCTTTAGCGCCACATAGTGGATATAGAAACTAGTGGAATATGTGCACTACATGATTTCCAACATCACGCACTCCACGCATTAAAAATACGTCTAACTTGTGGGCGCGCTGTCTGATGGTCGCAGATATTTATGGCCGCGTCCAATACCCCCGGCGTGCGAGAGGATGCGAGGGCCCATACACCGCTGCTTGCAGCTTGGATTATATTTATGATTTACAGAATATCAAATGTGAGACTCTGTTCCTTAGGAAGGAATCAAAACATGTATCCGTTATATGATGTTAGATTCAACTCTGTTAGAAGTGTGGCCATTGTACACAGTAAGTCCGTACTCTGGATGAGAAGGATAGCTGACCAATATCAATAAGACAGCCACTGTATTTATGCAGTATTGATTAGTTGTGTCAAGGAAAGAGATGAGTATCTTGTTTCTATGGCTGGCAAAGTTATTTTCCATTGGTTACCTTTAAGTGGCCCGGGGGCAGATGCTAAGGGAGGGTTTTTGGGAAAAGGAGTGAAGAGCTGGTTGCTGATGCTTGCACAGATTTTCTGCTTTCCAGCTTCAGCTCTTCTCCTCACACTCGGGCTGCTTTTGTGTGTTGGTGAAACATCTGCTCTCTGATTTCTCCTTTGCTCTTGGATTTGTTTGTGCGATAACCATGTCAAAACCAATGTTGACCAATGAAATGATCCCTGCTTTGTTGCAGGTGTGTTCGCTTTACTGGAGTTAGTATGAATACCAGCACGCCGCCCATATTTTTTCTTCTATAATAGCTACATCGGCCTCCTGTCAGTGTCCTTTCTAGAGGGGAAAAGACAATAGTGCTGGTCAGTGGAGCAAGTTACACTTATTGGCACAGGTAGCCGCCTCAAATGGTAGTGAGAATCAGTTCATGCTGATGGGGAGTGGCGACAGTCAATGCAACACAAGCCGTTATATGTGATTTATGACTGCAGCCACTTGCTTTTAGATAGTCAACAGGAATACCCCTAACAATCACTAACTTTATATTCCACAGCACCCAGACCTTCACCCACAAAAAAACATAGCTGTGCACTACAGAGCTAGCGTTAGCTAAGCATCAATTAACACTAGCTGAGACTGAAAATAGAGTACTCTAAACAGGAGTATGCTCGGTTTTATCTGGGTTGCTAAATTGAAGGTAATCTTTGCTACCATATAGTCAATTACTAATGTTTCATAATGTAATGTGAATGGTAGCTCCTGATTACTGTAATAGAATGTGAATCATGTGAATTTACATCATTGCACCTTTTGATAAGACATGTTTAAGATGTAATCCTTTTTTCTCATCTATGCTGCAGTATAGGCGCATACAGAGTTTATTTGTATAGTTGGATTCAGTGTGAATCGTTTCCGTTTCATAAACCAGAAATTAATTCAGAAATGTTGCAGATCTTGCTCTTCAATTGTCAATTGCTAATCTGGGTCATGCTTTTGTGTTCTCTACCAGACAAGGAGACAGTTCATAATCTGTTCGGACAAAATTTGAAAATGCATTCTTTTCTTAATCTCATTTTCCTTATCTCTTTTAATGTAATTCCTTCACTGTGCTACGTAAATCCAATTTTGCTGCTTTCATTGTCGGTGTGAGGATGCATTGTTTTGCTTTGTAAATCAACTTCATCTATTCTGCTGCCATAATTTGGATTGCTGATTTATTGTTTCTCATTTTGAGGTTTCATCTCTTGAAAAGGAGGATGAGTAAATAGTGGGATGAGATACAGGGATTCCTTTTCTGAGGAATAGTTATTCACAAATCCAAACTGTGTATCGAGTTTTGTAGTTGGTCATAATAATGAGGGAATATTACCTTGAAAAAGCATTGTACTTGTCAGAATAATAAGTGAGTTTTTTCACTTTTATTATAATTCACTTCTGAGAGGGTCAGTAGAGGATGGAAGCAACAAATCCCTGTACCCTGGATTGTACCATAGTCAATTGTTTAGTGCAAGGCTTTCATTCCTAACAAATAAAAAATGCGATGAAGACATGTGATTATCAGTCTGGTGTCTGATCCCTGTCAAATTTGCCTGGACCCCTGCATGGAAACACATTCTTTCTCCACCCTCAGGCTTTTGCTACTTGAAATTCAAATTTTGTAATTGAAGAATAAATGGAGTCAGTAATCAAGCAATTAATCAGTAGTTACAGTAATAGCCTGCTCATTCTTAAGTGAAGAGACGTCTGTTGTAGATTAGGCTGTGTTGAACATACTGTATAGAAGCAGAAGCATACTGTGATCCCACAACAGCTCATGTATTTGATTTGTTTAATTCTGTTCAGAAATCAGCTGTCATGCTAATGCTGTTACACACTCTGTGTGTGTGTGTGTGTGTGTGTGTCCACTTAACAGTCCCTTAATGTTTTCAATTCACCTTTGAGGTGTCTCATGTTCACGGATGTCTTCATTTGCAGAATTTTAAAGATCAACAGTGAAAACGTATTCTGTTCTATTTAGAGCAGCAATTATCTTTTTTTAAATGTCATAAACCTTTTTTGAATTTTATAATTTTGTTATTATGTGTTCTAAACCCACAGTGTTGTGACAGTTAACACAGAGACAATGAATAACAATGTTTATTTTGTATTATATATTATTGACAGCTGTTTTACTTTATTAATCAAATACATATCAGAAGAACCCTGGTCTCTTAGATCTCATATGATTACTTTGTTTCTAGATTAAAACGTACTTGTGTGACAGTCAAACAGATTTACTGATGCTATTTGTAGCTCCAAAACACATTCCTTTCCTTTCACTGCAGGTATAAAGTTTACATTTTTTCTTCATGTTCACATTGATTTTCTGAACATGCTCCAGTTTCCTCCCACACTTAAAAGCATTCAGGTCAGGTAGATTAGAGGCGCTATAAATGTTTCTCTTTATCTGTGTTGACTCTGTGAGTCACTTCCGACCCGTGTTTCCCTGTTTTTCACTTAGTAGAGCAAACAAAATCAATCTTTCTATGGCAATGATGAGAAATAATGTCGGAATGAATTTTGTCAGCTTTACGACAAGCACAACGTTGTTGTGACAGCTAATGCACTGTAGTGATGATCTTCAGTTGGCATGCCCATCACAGCATTCACTATAAATATTCTATACTGTTCAGTCTATTTATAAAGTCACACAGGGCTGTCATACCTGAACACTGAAGCTAATATAATTAGCATGTTAGTGGTAACAAGCTATCGCTTAATGGATTTCTAGTCGGACTAGATTTTGATCTAGCCCGACGTGGCTAAGTGGATAGCAGGGCCATCTTTCAATCAGAGGGTCAGCGGTTCAAACCTCCGACACAGCTCCGGCTGTGCTAGTTGCATGTCGATGTGTCCTTGAGCAAGACACTTAACCCCAAAATTGCTCCCGTAGCTGTGCCTATGGTGTAGAAATGTGATAGACTCTGAATTGTAAGTCGCTTTGGATAAAAGCGTCTGCTAAATGACTGTAATGTAATGATATCTAATACTTGAACCCCTCTACAAATGTGCTCTAGAAACCAATTCATTTTGGCTTTCTCTACGCAAAGCCAAAAGCAATAATGCACCATCTCAATAATGTATAACTAGTCCATTTTAACCATTATGTGCAACCAAAAAACATGAGCAACTTTGAATAATACTGGCATTAGCAAGTACAAAACAGGAAGATAGAATACCCTGAATCAATTAAATAAACACCATTATTTAGTCACACTCCATACATCATCTCTCTTGCACACAGTAAATCTTAATCAAAGAATACATTGTTTGTATTTCCACAGTTTCCTCTGGTGTAATACATAAAGAGTTACACAAACAAATTCCCCAGTACTATTTTGACTTTCTTGTTCGACATTCCAGTCACATACAGTACATGCCTTTGAGGAACCGAGAGTTGTAATCAGACATTCCCAGATTTCTCGACTCGAAGGACTGGTGGGTGGCAAGCTTCCTTATTATTTATGTCTCTCGAGTCAGCATATTCATTGTGATTTTATTTTATGTGACGTGACTGAGATTGAGAGTGCATGGAGGACAGTGTACCCAGAAACACAGATGAATATAAGGCACTCTATCACAGTTGCAAGTGTGTGTGTGTGTGTGTGTGTGTGTGTGTGTGTGTGTGTGTGTGTGTATGTGTGTGTGTGTGTGTGTGTGTGTGTGTGCATGTGATTATTTGTGGCTGCAACAGATATACAAACTTTCAAATTTGACTTTTTGGGATTTCAAATTTGCTATGTTAACTATTTCAGTGCTAATGATTGGAAGTGACATATGAGTATCTAACAATGGTCAATTATCTAATGTATCTCTTCTCTCTCTCATTTCATTCCAGCGAGCCCAAATCCTCATTCCAAAGAGTGCAAAACCAGTCAATGAATTATGAATGTTAAACAAGATGACCTCCTCTCAGCAGCAGCAGATGATGCGAGGTCCTAGGTGGAACCGGGCCTTGTCCGACCCTTTTTTTGTGCTGCTTCTGGCCCTCCAGCTGCTGGTGGTGGCAGGGCTGGTACGTGCTCAGACATGCCCCTCTGCCTGCTCCTGTAGTAACCAGTTCAGCAAAGTCATCTGCACCCGGCGAGGCCTGCGGGATGTCCCTGATGGCATCTCTACCAACACCCGCTACCTGAATCTGCAAGAAAATCTAATTCAGGTCATAAAGGTGGACAGCTTCAAGCACCTAAGACATCTGGAGATCCTGCAGCTGAGCAAAAACCACATACGCAAAATTGAGCTGGGGGCCTTCAATGGACTGGCCAGCCTCAATACCTTGGAGCTTTTCGATAACCGCCTCACCACTATTCCAAACGGGGCATTTGAGTACCTGTCCAAACTAAAGGAGCTTTGGCTGAGAAATAACCCCATAGAGAGCATTCCCTCTTATGCTTTCAACAGAGTGCCCTCATTACGCCGGTTGGACCTTGGGGAGCTCAAACGGCTCTCCTACATATCTGAGGGGGCCTTTGAAGGGCTGAGTAATCTGCGCTACCTAAATCTGGGAATGTGCAATCTGAAGGAAATTCCCAATCTTATTCCCCTGCTGAAGCTGGATGAACTGGAGATGTCGGGGAACCAGCTAGCTGTTATCCGACCTGGCTCTTTTAAGGGGCTCATCCATTTGCAGAAGCTATGGATGATGCATGCCCAGATCCAGATCATTGAAAGGAACTCTTTTGATGATCTGCAGTCTCTAGTGGAGCTCAATCTAGCCCATAACAACCTTACCCTTTTGCCCCATGATCTCTTCACTCCTCTACATCACCTGGAAAGGGTGCACTTGCACCACAACCCGTGGAATTGTAACTGTGATATCCTCTGGCTTAGCTGGTGGCTAAAGGAGATGGTACCAGCTAACACCAGCTGCTGTGCCCGCTGCAGCTCCCCAATGCACCATAAAGGACGATATATTGGCGAGCTGGACCAGAACTACTTTCACTGTTATGCTCCTGTTATTGTGGAGCCTCCTGCAGACCTAAATGTGACAGAAGGAAGTGCTGCAGAGTTGAAATGCAGAGCCAGCTCCTTGACCTCGGTAAGCTGGATTACACCCAATGGTTCCGTCATGACACACGGTGCTTACAAGATCAGAATCTCTGTGCTGAATGATGGCACTCTGAACTTCACCAATGTTACCATGCAGGACACAGGCACATACACATGTATCGTAAGTAATTCTGCAGGAAACACAACAGCATCTGCCACGCTCAATGTGTCCTCTACAGAGAACAGCAGCTTCAGCTACTTCACCACAGTGACGGTGGAGACCATAGAATCGCCACATAATGAAGCCTTCACCACTGCTGTGCAACAGAAGGTGGGCCCCACACCTTCTGCTGGTGCATGGGAGTCTGTTTCACCCACCTCTACAACTACCACAACAGTCCGGACTCCGCTCTACACTCGCGCCACAGAGAAGACTTACACAATCCCCGTCACAGAGCTGGGTGGAGAGGGCTCACTGAACGGCTTGGATGAGGTCATGAAGACAACTAAGATCATCATTGGCTGCTTTGTTGCAATCACACTCATGGCAGCAGTCATGCTGATCATCTTCTACAAGATGCGCAAACAGCACCACCAGCAGAACCACCACGCACCTACACGCACCATTGAGATCATCAATGTCGACGAGGACTGTGTGACAGGAGGCCCGGGCATGGAAGGCCACCTGACCCTGCCTCCTCTTGAGCATGAGCACCTCAACCACTACAACGCCTATAAGACTGCATACAACCATGCCTCCACTATCAACTCCATACACAGTTCAGCGCACGAACCTTTGTTAATCCGGGCCAGCTCAAAAGACAATGTACAAGAGACCCAAATCTAATTTTTTTTTTTTTTTTTAAATGAGACATCAAACTGATGGAATTACATGAAGACATTACTGACAGGACAAAACAGATAATTGGTTGTGAGAACTATGGCTCAGACATGGAGAAACAGACTTGTGTGTCTGGCAATTCAGTGGCCGGTGATGTTTATTCAATGACTTTGGGAATTAGGGTATGTCTACTGTTTCAAAAAGTGTCTTTACAAAACAGAAGTTATTTATTTAAGAAAAAACTTGTGGTTGAATCAAGAAAAAACTGTATTCTGCAATTATTTTTTCAACATTTAATTCATGTTTTTTTGCTCCTTCCTCTCATTTCACAGGATTGGTTTACTTATGCTTTCAAACTCAGTTTGAAGACATCTGTTGAGGAAAAACTCCTGAAGCAAATTATTGTTTGTTCTGGGTAAACTGCAGTCTTTGGATCAGAGCTATTTCCCCCATGTATCAGAAAAATCTAGAGCACATTAGTGATCTTCTTCAGCTATGGGTAGAGTGATGAAATCTTCGTGACCATATGTAACTGAGATTAATTGGACACTTCATTCATGTTCATTATCTCACAGTGAGTGAAAGAACTGTCAATGATGGAATTTGATCATAATTCACTGTTTTTATTATATATGTCACATACACATTAGGCACTCTTTGCTTTGCAATCGAAAGACTGAGGAGCTTAAATGAGGGAAACATGTCCTGTGTTCTGCTGTTGTAAAAGTAGAGGCTCAGTATTAGAAGTGCATTTTAGCTAAATTAAATTCTATTGATTAACTGTGACAAAATCTTACATTTGTTTTTGTGTTCCTAATGTATGTGCAAAATGTTATCCCTAATCTCCACTTGTTTTGACTCAAGTTACCAGCTTCTCTGGGATGTCTTCTAATTATTATAGAGAACATTCCATTAATTGCATTAAGACCAATTTAGATTTTGATGGTCATGATACAGGAGCAGCATTAATGGGTACTTTAGAATCTGCATAATTGTGAATGAAAATGTAGGAGAGTCTTGTGAAGAATGTAGATGATCTTAAATTATGGCAAAAGTCCACTGACTCCAAATGTTTCCAATGTATCATGACCTCACTTTTACCTTATAGGGCTTTGTAGTGTGGCATATGAAGGTGATTGCTTTGAAGCCACCTTTTTCATGCTGGGACCCCTTACCTCATCTGCAATACTGTAGGACTGAGTGTTGTCAGAAGCAGACTGATGAGCGGAAGAAAGAGCTTAAACCCTTTATACAGCTGTCTGAGCACATTGCCTGTCATCTGTGTGCCACACTTCCACATGGGCAGTGCCTGGCAACTCCCGATTCACACCCTGCCCCTGCCAACCACAGGACTTGGCCCTGAGCGCTGGGGATTATGCTGCGAGAGGCTTTAGGGGTGAATGTGTGGGATCGGGCATCAACCAGATGTTTGGGTTGCACCTGCTTCTCTCCTTCTCCCTTTGAAACAACACAATTTCCATTTTAATTGATGTGCTCATGAGCTTTGGATGAACACAGCTCTGCAGGCAGCCATACCCTGGAAACAAAGTCCCCGCTGTAAAAACCAGCAGGCATCATAAATGCGGTGGTTAGGCAGACATTTGTCAGATCCAACACTTAGATAGATGCCCCCAAGTTAATTTGTATCAAAGTTAGGCCACTGTCTTGCTTTATTCAGTTTTGTGGTTCCATTATATCAAGGTGTTACAGTAAGGAAATATATAAAGGAGAATGGCTCATTAAAAACTACTGTTACAGATAGTGCCATGCACGGTCTTTGGAGTCACAATGCACTCCCCTAACCTTGAAGCCCACAATTCACAATAGTTTCTAACACTCCTCCTCTATAGACTTGAAAGGTGTATCTATGAAAAGTATATGACTTGCCATTTTTTCAGATACTGTGATCAGCTTGGATTAATGGTTGGATTTCACCCCTCTTCACCCCTGTGTGCTCCTGTTTTTATAAACAGTCACATTTCAGCATTTGGTTAAAACATAACACTTTCAAGCTTACGAGCTGTGCGTATAGGTATATGCATGTTACATCACCCACATCCTGCCCTTACACTGATCAAATTCACTCTAAACTACATCAGGTAGCCTCTGAACTTCCTTAAACAAAGCAGAGTAGCTCAATATAAGTTTGCCAGGAGTTCACTACCCACATTCCAGAATATAGACGAACAAAATGACGTAAAAATAAACCTTTTACAGCAACCTTTAAAAAGCCAATAGTTGGGGTGTGTGCTTTATTCTCAAAAAAGACAGATTTGTGACCTAAAAGACAAATAGGCAGCTTCCCATAACCTATTGTGTCAGCATTTGTCCAAAAGGGAAAATGAATGTGATACAGTAGGAGTCCAAGTAACTCATGACTAGGTTATGAATAGAGAATCAAATTTTACAACAAGATAATAATCTAAAGCCCCGTTCCCCTGAGGCTAATATTACCTGGGCTCCCTTTTTTGAAATGTAATAAAATAATTAATCTATATCGGATAATTTGATAATCAAGATAATTCTGGAGTTGTTAAGTAAATTGATTTATCCACTTTGAATTCACTGTCCCCAGATCATTTTAGTCCAAACAGAATGAGATAATTGATTGATATCATGCTTTTTTTTGTCACCCCCTTACACAATTTATCCCATAATTGCACTTCTGTGGAGTTTGGCACATTTGTAAACCATAGAATGACATGGGTGTGTGCCATCTGTCTGTGTTTAAGTTCCTAGTGGTGGGATGACCACAGTTCTACTCAGTTTACGTAAGAGAGTGTAACAATTCTCCCTTTTTGCCTTTTGTTGGAGGTAAATCGTCTGAAAATTGAAATGGTAAATTTGTTGCATTTTAGTCAAGCTGTCTCATGTATGTAAGATATCTAAATATTTTTGGTCAATATTCTTTTTTTTCCACATTCTTTTTTTCTGAGAGGGAATGCTGTTCTAGTGGTAGATTTATATAAAAATAAATTTTCAGAATAAAACAAAAAAACAAATACATTTTGATTTTACATGTGCCAACAACCTGTTCTAAAATTGAAAAAGAGAAACATGCTGTAAAAGAATAAGAGATTGATTTTCATATAAGCATTCTTTCAAGACCTTTAAAAGATATGGAGATTGATTATAGAGACCAGAGTTTGTAGTTACACAAAATATGGTGAAATAAACTTGTTGTTTTTCTGTATTGTCTGGTTCTTGCTTTCATCCTGTGCCATAAGAGGCGTGATATATATATATATATATATATATATATACAGTATATATATAAAACAGTATTAGAAGTCTCATATTTCAAGATACAAAGCTGAAGTACAGTTGCACCAGCGTGTTTTTCCCCTCAATTCACACATTTTTAACTTATCTGTAATGTCAATATTTATCAAAATGATAACTCTTTTAAATCTGTAATTTGTTCATTTCAATTTCTACTGACTATTATTGACAAATTTGAATACAATTATTAATTTCTAACTGTGTCCAGTCATCATCAAAATTGGGAAAAAATACAGATCTTTGAGGGCTTGATTCATCTATATTTTGAATACATGGCTGTCATGTTTTACATCAGTATTCATGAAAATGTAGATTCATGGTGACAATGCTCACATTAATACAGCCGTACAATTTCAACGACATTGCAGGGTGTTACAATGAGAGTACCCTACTTACTGGTACATACAGAAAATACACTGTTATATTTCGTTGTATTCTTATCTTTATGAAAATAACTTGGTGCTCCGACTGGCTTACAACTTAATTTAAATGATAATGATAGTACTTCGTTTGGAGTTTTTATGTTGAAAAAAGTCATTGTATAGTGCATTCTAAAAAGTAAAAAAAAGTCATAGTTTGTTTGCATTTTTGTTAACTCAAGCATGCAGTCTTGTCTTTGAGGAAACATTGCATTATATTGTATAATGCCAACTGGTCCGCTCTTTCAAGCGTATGACAAGTTGGTTTTTATTCTAGTCTATTTAAAACACAGCCCAGGGTCTCTTCCACTGGCTTCTCACTAACGCACCATTAAACTCTTCATTTTCTTATTTATTCTGCTCCCGAGGCTCAGATAAATTAATAGTGGCTTAATTCCAGCACAGTGTTCGGTATGCTAGTGTTTTAAAAAATTGTGAAGAAAAGGTATGACAATAAGTGAAAAGGTTGAGGAGTAATTAGATATTTAGTTAGTTAGTTATACTACTGCCTCTGTTCACATCATTGTCAGACTTATACATTCAACACTGTGACTTACACAAACATCAAACATAGTTAACATATGTCAATGGGATGTGACCTTAAAATAAAAACTTATTTTCTCTTAGTACGATATTATTTTGAGAGGGAAACATGTATAAAACCCTGTAATTTGCTATCTGTAGTTTAGCAGGTCATGCAGTTTTTTACTCAAGCACTTGAGGTGAAAATATTCAGGAATCTCATTTAAGAATATTCAAAAATCACTCCCAAAACTACTGCCTTAAAGTCAGAATTCGTCTTTTTCAGACCCAAAAGGCAAAAGTAGTCTCTATTAGCAATGGCAGACTATCGATGCTGTCTTGCAAGTGCTGGCAGGAAAGGCAAAGAAATATATTTTTGCAAAGATGTTGCACAGATCCTGAGCAGCTGTATGTTCCTGACAACCTTCAACATACGGTCAGACATCCAGCCTAAGGACTTGAGTTTGTCCAACACATTCAAAAACGATGAAATCAACTTTAAAGTCACCAAGCAGCAGGTACAGATACATATGAAAGTTTAGCACCAAAAATATAATTGGAGTGAAAATCACCTTGAATAGGAAATAAGGCAGCGTGTGTAAACCAAAAGCACAAATCTCACAGGAGACCAGAATGTTTTAGAAGTTTTCTGGTAAGTTTTTTACACCGAGGCAAGCTCTAGATTTCTAAACATATATGCCAAAACCTAGAAAAAGAGAGAAAAAGAGGCATTTTCATATGTTTTATTTATTTGATGATGTGCCCTGATTCACAGCCTCTGCTGCCCTGGGACTTCAAGCAGCCATATGCCCCGTGATGACAGTTCCTCTTTTGAGGTCAGTAACTGCCCTTTTCCTTCAAGTACTGCATCATGGCAGACAAGCTCAAATTGAAAAGTGTGTTCTCTATTATCGGGGAGAAATAACTGAAGTAACATGTACTGCGAAGGTTACAAGTTGGATCCTGAACCAGTATATGAGGTTAAGATAACATTAACATATCATGTGGAAAAAGAGTCTGATCTTAGTACAAATTCAGATGAGGAGTTTTTGCAGATCAGATGTTACGTATTCTCTATGGACTGATGACATCACAGTCACTTAATGACAACAAAGCTCTCCCACGCACTGTAGAAATGGTCACCACTTAAGGAGAGGGAGAGCCCCATACTCCTGGATTCTCAGGCCTACATCATCAGATAAGGCATGAGAGGGATGCAATCTGGAGTGGATGCTGGAGGCTTGATGCCGGCAGCAAGCTCTAATTCGTGGCAGTAAAGGATCCAACACTGCAGTGAGACTCGGACAAGAGGGGTGGAATCGCATCAAAAAACGAGGGCACAAGGCTTGTTTGTGAGCAGGTTATTCCAATCTGTCCCACTTGACTCTTCAAGTCACTTAAAGACAGTGGATGTTATGGCAATTTATACAGCTTGTACAGTTGTAGGGTCTTTCATTGTGACTTCACTAGTACATACAGGACACATTTCAGTCATTACTGCTCCACAGGGGTGAGTGAGCAAGTCTGCAGAGCCAGTTAGCACCTGAAGCTTGTGTGAAATAAAACATGTGTAATTTGTTTTTGTATTTTTTTTATACACAGTACAAGTCTCATGAGGTAGCAGCCATCATTGTACTTGGGAGCAAATTAAACTGCAAAAGATACTTTTCAGTAAAAAAAAGCAATGCTTGCATTTGAGATGTTTTTCAAAACCATATCAGATTATGAAGTAAAAAGAGTGATTCAGATATGAAACACTGTTGTAGATCTAAAAGCAATCTTTCACTAACAGTGGTATGACATTAGGGAAAACTGCATTCAAATTAGAGTGTATGTATTATGACACTGCAGTCATCGGATCAAAATTATTGAGAATTTGCGTCAAATTAAAATAAATTCATAAGAACAATAAGACGTGTGACAGTGTCACTGGCAGTGTGACAGCATAGCCGGCAAAGCTGAGGTCCTCACAACAACTTTTTAGTAGCTTAAGACATTGCGACCAGGGCAGGCAATGGATACGTCTGACAGCAGCTTCTGTCCTACAACCAAGACACGTCTCTTGGAGGATAACAGAGTAGAGCAGAGTCACAGTGCACCCACTGTCATACCCCTGCTCTCCAGGAGTGCTGCAGTATCTAAATAAACCCCGCTCTCCATCATAGAGCTCCCCCTCCTTATAAGGAGAGTCACTTCCTGGGGGTGTGTTCACCATGTTTGAACTTACCAGCAATGCAGTAAAACAACCACACAGCTGCATACTGTAAATGTGGACGACCAGCCATATAAACATGGACCCACTGTCTGTCTTTGTCCTCATATACCCACAAATACACAAAACACCGTGTTAATGGCCGGGCTTTGTTCTGTGTGGGCGATCACTGGAGACGGCGTCGGCTGCTGCAGTGCTCTGTGTCTGTGTTCCCGTGGAAACTGTGATAGGATGCACTGACTGACCCTGTTTGGAATGCCAAGAGTTAGTCATGCACGAAACTCATTGCTTTAAGATTGACACCTCTTGCCTTTAACCTTTAACTCCAACGACCTAGTTTAGATTTGTTTAACTTGATTTAATCAAATCAACATTTAATTCATTGCATCTTTCAGGGAAAATGACTGTAATGTAAAAACTTACAGGTGGGTCAATAAATGAGAGAGAAAAAAAATGTGTATTTCAATTAAAATAAAAAAGGAAACCAATCAAAAGATAATGAAGGCAATACAAATGGGAATATAATTAGTAAAAGAAATACAGTCCTTGGAGTTGGTCTGATAGATATTTTACAGTAAATTCTAAACTAAAAATAATATAAACTGTAATAAAAACTGGGGGCTAGTGTAAGGAAAATAGAGCATAGTGCTGTGCCTGCCGTGTGAGTGAAATGCTCAGCTCATATGCCCAGTGAGTACTGACACATCCGCTGTGATCTTCGTTGGGAACCAGTGGAGTCAGAATATAAGCCAGTAAAGCAACAGGTGTGCTTTTTGCTCCTCTGATCTTAGGGCAATAGTAAATCGTGCAGATGCTTTTAGGATAAATTGCAGTTGTCTTACAGTAAGTAAGTCTGTTGGTGACGAAGGCATGTAGTCATTCAGAGTCTGCTTGGAGGGGCTAATGGTGTACTCTGGTAACATTCCTAAAATTGTGATGATGATGTTAACTCTTATGTGCACATCAAGACTCATCAGACTCAGAATTGGCTTCAAGGCTGCATGCTTTGTATCCAAATGTAGAGACGGACATTTCTTTCTGGATTGCAGCTATAGAAACAATTGGTGTCTTTCCTCTGTGCAGCTCACAAGACTTCTGTGACATTCACAAGTTGATGTGATCAATGCAGTAAACCACTTAGGGTTGACATCTTTGGGTGGTATGGAAATGCACAGCTGCATGTCATCTGTATGGCAGTGAAAATCAATGCCCTGGTCACAGCGAGGGAGCTATAATACACCCCTGTCACTAATCAGGTGATTATAAGTTTGCTGGTGGTATCTTTGTTCTGTCACATAGATCTCGGGGTAACTATGTTGTGAATGATGTTAGTATGTAGTATAGCAGTATGTACTAAAAGTAAAAAGAAAAAGTATGCGAACACAGATTAATTTACACTACCATCAATTTACACAAAAACATCGATGGCTTGGCATGGATGCACTGCTTGTGAGACAGAACTATTGGGCATCCTACCCTCTCACCCATACAGATCGGTGTGCTCCCTCACCCTCATGGATCATTCAATTATTGCACTGATTAGGCATCACATAAATTAATTGGATTCCCAGACAGTTTACAGAGCATTGGCTAGAGTGATTAAGCATCTGTTTTTGTCCATTACAATCATTCTATTTACTTTGTGTACAGATTCTTACCGTGTTTGCGCCTTTTTTTTTTCAGTATATCTAACTTATTTTGGGATTGTTTTAGTAGACAGTCATAAAATTCATTAGATAGTCATGAAATTCCAG